CCATAAATTCTATATTAGCCCCTATGTCCAATACCAATCTATAAAGTCCTCTTCAGACTCATGAAACACAGGCAATGAAGCCAAATGCAGGACGATCACAAGCCAGTGGGTAGAAAGTCTTTGGGTCCAGTGGCGTTGTAGGCATCTCAGTGCTGGCAGGGGTCTCTCTGTGGCTTCTCCAGCTTCCGAGCACTGGTTGCATCCATGTGACTCGTCTTCTGCAGTGTCTCCCAGGAAGTAGCAGAGAGAAAGAGGTGTCTTTTGCCTCCAAGGAGGAGGTGCCAGATTTCCCAGAATTCTCAGGAGAAGGCCATGCCCACACAGAAGTCTCATTGGCTATCTCCAGATTGACAGCCTAGACTCCACCCCTGCACTCTTAATCCTTAAATTGACACCAGATTAGGTGACTACCACAGAGCCCCAGTTGCAGTGGGTGAAACAGGCTGCTAACGGCTAACCACACGGTCAACGGTTCAAACCTGCTTGCGGCTCCATGAGAGAAAGCCATGCGCTCCAGGAAACAGGGGCCCAACCTGGGGAGCCCCGCGGAGCAGTGCTCCTCTGTCCTGTCGTGCCGGGTGTGGTTTGGGTTGTGGTGCTCACACTACTGGGTTACGCATGTCTGATTTCTTCCCAGGAGAGCAAGGCTTACTTGAACACCATAATAGGATACTTCGAGCAGTACGTGCAGTGGGTCAAGAACTCTGTGAGTACCTCCTTTTTAAGTGGAGGGAGGGGTGGGTGTGTCCCTGGTTGGTGGTTCCCTAGGATAAAATCGGGAGGAATTACAAAGAAAGGCACCCTGGCATGGTGGAGGCAAGTGAGGGGTGGGCGTAAGGGGGAGGCACCTGGAGACTGGGCAGAGGTGTCACCTCCCCCACCTGTGGTCATGGGGTCATCATCTGAATACTGGCCCCAGTCTCTGCCCATTCCTCTCTTACTCATGCCCGCCACACTTGAAGACCACCATCTCATCTCCTCTGTGAACCACCGACCCCTGAGCAGGCTTTGTACAGCCCTTGGGGCCCCGGGTAACTGTTGCTTAGTTGAGCTCCTTCGGTGTGTGTGGAGCAGGGCGAAGTTCCCAGCGGGTTTCCTTTTAACTGTGTGCGGCGCCTCTGGGGAAGGCTGTCAGAGCAGTTCCGTTTTCCACTCAACAGTTTGTACATCAACTGCCATCCCCACAACGGACCAGCCCTCCTCCCATGTCGCCGCTGTGTTTCCTGGTTCCCTGTCTCCTCCTCTCCCAGCCTTTCAGGACTCTGGCTTGGGCGTGCCAGGAGTTCCCTGGCAGCAGTTGCTGGGTCACGCAGCCTGGAGTCCATCTCCAGACTCATTGTGACACTGCGGGGATCCCCAGGCTCTCATCGTGGAGGAAGTAGGCCAGCAGGCCTCCCCCCACCCCACCCCCCAGGAGCAGCTGGCGCCACGGTGCATGTGGCCCAGGACGCATCCATCACAGAGCAGCTGTAACCAGGATGTGGGCTGGCCAGGGCTTAGAGACATCCCTGGGGGCTCCATGCGAGAGAGAAAAACATACAGAATGTGAAACCCCATTTCTTCGAGCCGAGAGAGGAGAAAACCCAGAAAGCACAGAAATTGAAGAAACCTGAGGGTTCCCATGCGACTGAGGAAGGCGGCGGTGTCAAGTGCCGGTCAGTCATTCTGACCCGTGGGACACTGAGCACCGGTGTTGCTTTGGTTAGGTGCCGTCGGGTCTGACTCATAGCAACCCCTGCGCACTGTGAAGGGAACCCCGCCCGCCCGCTCCGCGCCGGCCTCACCGCTGTTCTTAGCTTTGAGCTCTTGGTTGCAGTCGCGGGGTGAAGCCTTCCTCTTTTCTGCTGCCCCTCTTCTTTCCGAGTGGGGTGTCCTTCTCCAGGGACTGGTCTCCCCTGACCACATGTCCAAAGCACGTGAGACGGAAGTCTTGCCCCCCGCGCCACTAAGGAGCATTCTGACCTCCCTTCTTCCAAGACAGCTCAGTGGTTCGTTTGGCAGCCCAGGGTACTTGCGGTGTTCTTCCCCAGCACCGTGGTTCATATGCCGTCGTCTTTCTTCAGTCTGCTTTATTCCCGGTCCAACGTTTTATGGCAGAGACAGCGATGGAAAAGACCATGACTTGGGCCAGGTTCACGGTAGTCCTTAAAGTCGCCACCTTGGGTCTCAGCATTTTAAAAATTTATTTATTTAATGGGAACGACTTTATTGGGAGCTAATACGGATAGCATATTATTCCATAGTTCAACTACATCAAGCGGTCTTGTAAAATTGCCACCACAGTCAGTTTCAAAATACAGTGAACCCTCGTTTATCGTGGTTAATCGGTTCTAGACCCTACTGTGATAAATGAAATTCCGCGAAGTAGGATTCCTTATTTGTAAAT